TGCATTATCCTGCTGGAAGTAGCCATCAGAGGATGGGTACATGGTGGCCATAAAGGGATGGACATGGTCAGAAACAATGCTCAGGTAGGCCGTGGCATTTAAACGATGCCCAATTGGCACTAAGGGGCCTAAAGTGTGCCAAGAAAACATCCCCCACACCATTACACCACCACCACCAGCCTGCACAGTGGTAACAAGGCATGATGGATCCATGTTCTCATTCTGTTTACGCCAAATTCTTACTCTACCATCTGAATGTCTCAACAGAAATCGAGACTCATCAGACCAGGCATTTTTCCAGTCTTCAACTGTCCAATTTTGGTGAGCTCTTGCAAATTGTAGCCTCTTTTTCCTATTTGTAGTGGAGATGAGTGGTACCCGGTGGGGTCTTCTGCTGTTGTAGCCCATCCGCCTCAAGGTTGTGCGTGTTGTGGCTTCACAAATGCTTTGCTGCATACCTCGGTTGTAACGAGTGGTTATTTCAGTCAAAGTTGCTCTTCTATCAGCTTGAATGAGTCGGCCCATTCTCCTCTGACCTCTAGCATCAACAAGGCATTTTCGCCCACAGGACTGCCGCATACTGGATGTTTTTCCATTTTCACAGCATTCTTTGTAAACCCTAGAAATGGTTGTGCGTGAAAATCCCAGTAACTGAGCAGATTGTGAAATACTCAGAAAGGCCCGTCTGGCACCAACAACCATGCAACGCTCAAAATTGTTTAAATCACCTTTCTTTCCCATTCTGACATTCAGTTTGGAGTTCAGGAGATTGTCTTGACCAGGACCACACCCCTAATTGCATTGAAGCAACTGCCATGTGATAGGTTGATTAGATAATTGCATTAATGAGAAATTGAACAGGTGTTCCTAATAATCCTTTAGGTGAGTGTATATATATCTGCAGATATCTGGCATTTTTTAATTATCGCATTGGCCAATATTTTTTTCCTGTTTGGCCGATAAGTGTTGAAAGCGGACTTTTATTTTAACAGCACTGAGAACACAGAGCCTGAGTGCAGATGCACAGGAGCTCTCGTTTTACGTTTCTGTTCCCTTTTATTCATGTTTTATTATCGAAAAATAATATTACAGAATTTCATTTTCAATTTTCTATCTAAAGTATAAATCTGTTTCTTTTACAGATTTTTTTTTAATCAAGTTCAAATCTTTTTTTGCATATTGATATATTTTCCTATTAATTATTTTTTAATTGAGCAAAAATGTAACACTTTACAGTAGAAAATGTTATGCATATGTTACATATATTGTATTTATAATATATATATAAATATATATACAGTATATATATATATATATATATATATATATACATATACATAGTATCTTACAAAAGTGAGTACAACCGTCACATTTCAGCAAACATTTTAGTATATCTTCTCAAGGGACAATACTATAGAAATGAAACTTGGATATATTTTAGAGTAGTCAATGTGCTGCTTATATAGCAGTATATATTTACTGTCCTCTGAAAACAACTCAACGTACACCCATTATTGTCATAGCTGGCAACAAAAGTGAGTACACCCTGAGTGAACATGTCAAACCTGTGTCCAAAGTGTCAATATTTTGTGTGAGCACCATTGTTATCTAGCACTGCCTTAATCCCCCTGGCCATGGAATTCACCAGAGCTGCACAGGTTGTTGCTGGGATCCTCTTCCACTCCTCCATAATGACATTACGGAGCTACTGGATGTTAGACACATTGCACTTCTCCACCTTCCACTTCAGGATGCCCCACAGGTGCTCAATAGAGGGTATGCATTGATGTCACTTTCCCACGGGAACACGTCCCCTCAGCTGGACTGAGTGGCAAAAGAGCTGCTGCGTGACTGGATTTAAAAGGGGAAACTGCGGAAACGAGAGTAAAACAAACGATGGTTGGACTCGATATAAGTGTTCCTTACAACTTAGGCCTACCAAAGATCCAGTGATCCATGGATATTGACACGCAGCCATTGTGTTTCCTGGCATTTATATGTGCTTGATTTCGACGCCGGGGAAATACGTGAAGCAAATTTGCCTGTGAACGCTTCATATAAATACAATATAGGTCTAAATCTAGGTGATCACTCATATCAATGTTAGGCTATAATCATATCATCCAGCCCTAAAACTTGTAGCCTATAGTTTTTTGTCAGTTTATTTAAAAAGATCCGATTATACGTAATAAGCCGACAACACATGTGGTCATGTTAACGCGGAAACCCGTTTTCTTTTATCGGAGTAGGGTCATAACCGGCTTAAGCATAAACCGGTCGACACAGGTAGTTTTTTGCCTCTTACTCGGATTTCGCATTATGTAAACGCATTAACCTGCTTTCTGTCGGCTTATTGAAGTGCGCATGTGTGAAATGTGACAGAAACGCATCCTTAGTGCAGATTTAAACACATCCAGACAGAGCATTTTTCAGGAAAGGAAAAAGAAAATATATCACAAACGCAGACTCTTTCATGACACAGAACATTATAAAAATGTCCTGTCATCCCGTGCAGCAGAAGTAGAAGTGGTTCAGTCAAAACGCTGCATCTGTAACTGCATGAGAGGATAATATACGAGCTGTAAGTTTCACGCTGACATGTTGCAAGTTGATTTAACATCAACCGACATAACAAATGAAATACTCAGAGTCAGATACGCAAATGATTGTTTTGTCGTCACACAGGGTCATGGCCTGATTTATTAATAAAGTCATGTGTACATGCCACGGTTTACTTGCGTTGTTATCATAGGCGTCATTTACGGGGGGGACGGGTGGGACATGTCCCCACCACTTTTTGCCAGGGTCGATATTGTCCCCACCACTTTTGAAACATCTCGCGGCACGGATGTACCAATACAAATAAAACATCTCCAGTTAACTAGCAGCATTCGTTTCATTCATTTGTTAAATAAGAGGCGATCTAGCGCTGAAATGTTTTGTCTTCACTCGGATGCGCGCTTCAATCCGTTGCGGAGATTCTATTCGTTCCGGTGAAATCACAAATCAAAATGCACACAAACGTGTCCCTGCTTCTCTGGGTTCTAATCCGCACTCGTATAGTTTTTTTTCCCTCATCAAAACCGATAATGTTTATCAGTGATAAAGTATATCAAGATTCTTGATATACAACCACTGATAAACATTATCGGTTTTGATGAGGGAAAAAAACTATACGAGTGCGGATTAGAACCCAGAACCTCCGACATGCTTGGCAAAAATTCTGCCACTGGACCATTACAGTACATACGCAACACAGGCGGATCTATGTATTTATTCATGTAAAAATTCACGATACTAACAACATATATTAGATCTCATTGTACGACCAATTAAACCCAAAGTACCATCACATTTTTGGTCGGACATCGTCACATCTTTGTATACGTTTTTATTTATTTACATCAGTAAGCTACAGGACATCGTCTTTCAAAACATGACCTGCACGAAAGAGAAAAAAGAATGAATGCGTCATTGTACCCAGCACTTTTGAAAATGCCCTTCCGAATGCGTCTCTGTCCCCAGCACATTTCAAAACAAACTGACGCCCATGGTTGTTATGGTTACTGGTGTGCATGTAAACGTGCTCAATGATAACTGCAAATCCACTATTCTCTGCCTGGAGTCAAGTTGTATCTATGAATTGCATCGATCCATTTGCTTCTCTGTTCTGTAGCTTTCGGCAGTCTGTAAAAATACACCTCAGATTTCTTGTCAAATGTAGTTGTACAGTCAATCGCAAAGCTCTTTTCCATTTTAGATGTTTTTTGTGTTTTTCACGGCATTCACGCTGAAAACCAATGCTGCCGCTCAGTCTTTTTGCCACTCAGTGGGCGTGACCGCAATCACTCCAGCTGGCGGTGACGTCACGCGCATACCCTCTATAGGGTTCAGGTCTGGAGACATACTTGGCCACTCCATCACCTTCACCTTCAGCTTCCTCAGCAAGGTAGTTGTCATCTTGGCGGTCTGTTTGGGGTCGTTATCATGCCGTTCGGCCCAGTTTGTGAAGGGAGAGCATCATGTTCTGCTTCAGAATGTCACAGTACATGTTGGAATCCATGTTTCCCTCAATGAAGCGCAGCTCCCCAGTACCAGCAGCACTCATGCAGCCCCAAACCATGATGCTACCACCACCATGCTTGACTGTAGGCAAGACACAATTTTATTGGTACTTCTCACCAGGGCGCCGCCACACATGCTGGACACCATTTGAGCCAAACAAATCTTAGTCTCATCAGACCACAGGACATGGTTCCAGTAATACATGCTCTTGGACAGGTTGCTTTCAGCAAACTGTTTGCGGGCTTTCTTGTGAGTGAGCTTCAAAATAGGCTTCCTTCTGGGACGACGGCCATGCACTGGCCGTGGTCTGAGCACTGACAAGCTGACCTTCCGCTTCTGCAACCTCTAAACTTTAGAGTCTAAAGCAATGCTGGCAATACTCATGCGTCTGTTTTTTGAAGCCAGCTTCTGCACCTGACGCACAGCACGAGGACTCAACTTATTTGATTGACACGTGCGAGGCCTGTTCCTAGTGGAACCCGTCTTGGAAAACCTCTGTATGGCCCTGGCCTGTACTATAACTCAGTTTCAGGGTGTTACCAATCTTCTTATAGCCTAGGCCATCTTTGTGGAGAGCAACAATTCTAATTTTCAAATCCTTAGAGAGTTCTTTGCCATGATGTGCCATGTTGAACATCCAGTGGTCAGTATGAGAGAATTGTACTCAAAGCACACATTTTAACTGCTCTAATACAAGATACAACAATTTGTATGGTCCTGTCAAGCAGATGACGAAAACATGAACATAATGAATAGGACATGTGGCTTTGCATGGTTAAACGACATACAACTATTATCACTTAGGGTGTACTCACTTTTGTTGCCAGCTATTTTGACAATAATGGCTGTGTGTTGAGTTATTTTCAGTATATATAATGAATATATGTAAATAGTGAATCATAAAATTCCTGTCACAGGTTGTTTTATTCTCTTACCTTAATTTTAAACTCCAACTGGGAATTGATGGTGTACATCATTTCCGTTCTCTCCATTGTACGAGCACCCTCATTACACTTCCTCACAAGCTGCATATACACACATACAGAGAAAAGATGGTGATTATTAACTAAGGCTCTCTCAGACAACACTAGAAAAATCCACATTGGTAATTCATGGCATTTCTTACCTTGCTGACAGCATGCAGAGCTTTTTTACATGCCTCGTAAGGGATCGAATCTTTGGGCGTCTTCTGGCATATGGTCTATAAGACAAAAACGTTTTGAATCAAAATTATCTTTAAACTGTTGGTGCTTTTGCACACAGTTTAATATGCTATAAATATAAAACAGACTTGCAACAGAACTTGTTTCCTGTATACAGTAGGGTAAGTGTACCCATTAAGCCCATGTACCCTTTAAGCCCACTTTCAACTTTGAAGTCAAATAAAAAAAAAGAGTAAATCATATTTTATGCTGCTCATTATTTTAATCAATCCAGTGAGTTGTTACTTCCCTGGCATTTTTTATTGTATACCAATCACATTTGGCAATGTTGAGTTAGCCCCACCCATGTGCAAGCTGTCTCAGGGCACCTCACACAAAGTCACCCCAAAACTTTGGTGTTTCGGGACCCTTCAGAAATCACTAAATTTCTGCAATTTTCAGCCATTTATTTGGTAACTACATTGATATTATGTCAAATAAGAGATAAATGTGTTGTTTTTTGTGTATGAACAAATAGTACTTTATCATTTTATATAGTTTTCCTTTAAATGGAAAGATGAGTTTTATTAGCTTCAGTTCAAAGCTAATCTCTAGGTCAATCCATTAGCCTTACAGAAAGATAGACTGCCAAAGAATTAAGCATGTGAACTGCAAACAATAAATGTTTTGTGATTCATTTTACATTAATTTACAAATAAATGCATCATAAATCGTTTTGTAGAGAAGATTATTTTCATAAATTAACTTTTTTTAAAGTGGGCTTAAATGGTACAGTGCCACAAAACGCATGCAAGCTACAGCCAACACAAGCTAACCTAGAATGAAAAAACCCTAACATTTCTCAATGTGGGCACAATGAAAATTACTATGATAATTAGTCCACAGTATATTTGAGCTCCATGCATGTATTTGTAAACATATCTTACATTTTTTAAGGAAAACATTGTCTTTTTTCACCATTACTCACTGTGGAACCATTTAAGCCCACCTTATGTGTTTCAATGAGAAATCCCTCTAATTGCAAACTTTGATACATTTTCTGAAAGTGTTTAATGATAACATTTCTTTGTGTACTTTTTACCTTACTAACCTTTTAACCTTACCTTACTTACTACTAGGGATGCACCGATCCACATTTTTTCACTTCCGATCCGATCCCGATACCTGAATTTGGATATCGGCCGATACCGATACTTTTCCGATACCAGAGCTGTGTTTGCTTTAATATTATTATTATCATTATTGTTGATTTTATATGATGCTGAAATAAACTCCTCTCTACAGGCAAGTATGATATGTACGTATGTATGCATGTATGTCAATATATGTATATATATATATATATATATATATATATATATATATATATATATATATATATATATATATATTAAACAATAGATAAACAAAAGATAGAAAATTAAACAAAGATACACATTATACAGGCCTACACAGTGCTTTAATTTCAGGAAGGTCTACTAACATTTTTCAGGTATGGTCTGAAAAGAATTATAATAAAGTAATCAAAAGTAAAACAGCACTGCAAAGTTTATCATAGATAGATTTATGCTTATTAAAGCTAAAGTTATTCATTCAAGAGCTGTGAGTGATTTTCTCTTTGCCTTTTGTTGTTTGATTCTCAGTAATGGAGCAATCGTCAGCATGTTTATTAGACTGCTTCCCCTTTAAGAACGAGTGCAGATCTAATAGTCTACTGATGCACCATATTTTCTCCCAACTATTTCCATAACTACGTCCATTTTAGACATAAACTGTTTAAGTGAATCTCCAAGCCGGTCATTTTGACATTTTTGTGTAGGCTACATTTGATCATTTAGACGCGCATATGAAGCCCAAAGTATAATGTGCTTGTCTCGTTGCGGTCTGTTTCGGAGCGTGCGCCGCGGGAACAGCATCTCTTGCGCAGATTTTTGTGCTTTTAATAGCTCTTTTTATTATAAAAAGCATCCCGCAATTTAGCAACAGTAGAGACTGCATTTTACAACAATCACCGATCATGCTGATGGGCTGTCGTGTTGTGCGCGCTGTGGCACCGCGTGAGAGATCTCTCTCTTTCTCTTCTGGACTGTGAATAGCAAACATGCATCACAGACAAATGGTTTAATTAATACGGCTTTGCAAACATTGCATTTTGCTGTCTTGCTCTGCTGTGGTGTTTCCAGTGTGAAGTATTTCCACCATAGGATTTCCACACAGTGAACATGTTGGCAGCTCAATGCTATCCTGTTAGCTGGCTGCAAACTGCGGAATGGATTTCCTGAGGAGGGGGGGGTCTATGTGTCTCATTGAGCCGTGCCTCCGTTCAGGAAATCCATTCCACAGTTTGCAGCCAGCTAGCAGACTAGCCGGCGGGCCGCGGGAATCACTTTTGGAGTCGTTTCAGCAGACAACGTTAAAGCGCAGACATGGCTCATGGATATCGGATATCTCCGCAGGTTGGATCGGGAAAATCCGATACGTGAATTACGCTGGTATCGGTCCCGATACCGATACTGGATCGGATCGGCCCCATCCCTACTTACTACCTTAATTTACAACTATATTTAGATAGGCCTACAAATTACACACATTCATTCAAATGAGATAGAGCCCGTTTTGTCCTAAAGTCGTTTATGTATAACCGGGCATAATTTGGGAGCCAAGCCGAGTTAAGGCTCCAGACTCCCGGTGTCTGGGGCCCACTAGGAGGCCCCCCTAAGCCCAGAGTATGGAGCCCTAACTCGGCTTGGCTCCTGAGATACACCCGTTCAAACTTCCAGCTTGACTCCAGCTACAACTCCAGTCAAGCCGACTTTAGGCTCCAGACCACCGGCCACTAACACCAACCCATCCCACCCAGGGCTCTAATCAAACATTAGCAAAAGGAACTTTTTTAATACTTCCCTGTCACTGAATAAATATATTGATGTTTTACTTCTTTAAAATCAATACATTTTTTTATATTTTGTGAATAAATGATGATGAGGGCTTATTTGGAACACATGCGGGCTTAAATGGTGCCAAAAGAACCAATTAAGCCCATGCCAGACTTCTGACTTTATTCATAAAATTATCTTAATTTTATATTCAAAAATGTCATCAACTAATTAATACATTTTCAAATGAGAGATAAATCTTGCATTTTAACTAATTATTTTCCTTATAAACCTTGTCATTATCTATTAAAAAACCTAGACTTAGATTTTGGTGGGCTTAATGGGTACACTTACCCTATATAGTTTTTGGTTTATTGTTCCTGAAGCTTTTTGAACACTTTATATTTAAAGTAGTGCTCTCAAACTTTCTCTCACGCTTGTCTGATATTTCCCAGCTAAAGTTTTATTTGTTTCCAAGCTGTGGGAAGAAAAAGAGAGAGAAGGAAAGAAAATCAAACCCAATTTTCTCATACTCAGAGCCAGCCAGCCCAGCTCTACTGTCCTAAACTCACCGCCAAGCTCAGGGGACCCACAAACAAAGAGACAGAGGGATGGAAAGATGAGAGGGTGAGAAAGTGAGAAAAGGTCTACAGGAAGGAGGGAAGCATGGTGAAATGAAAACATGAGCTTTGAGGATAGGGACCATGGAGATGTTTCTAGGTCATCTTTAGTGAAGCTGACTCCCTCACTTCATTTTACATACACAATCCTCTGAATGGGACAAAGACGACAGAGAGAAAACAACACCCTTTTAAATCATCTTTTAAATATAATAAAACAACTCCAACTCAAACCATTTACCTTATGCAAAAATACTGCAGAAAAGTATCAACCAAACAAAAATGAATCTTAACAGAATTGTTACAGTTGAACAGCGAGGCCCTGAAAGCTATATTTTTAATGAAACAGAAGAGAACTGGAAGAGAGTGGAAATTTTACAAGGTATGCAGAGCAGAGAAAGAAAAACAAGTATCAAGGGACTTTAATTAGTTTAATATGATGTGTTATGTAACAGGGAAAGTCCTGCAGGTCAAACCAACCACATAACATTAGTGGAATCTCAGACACAGAGATTCAGCTAATGTTATCAAAGCATAAGATACATGTCAGAAGATTGAGAATGCAGTTGCAAAAGAGCTGAATGTTTATGTCAGTGTTAGAGATATTAGCAGAGGTCAGGCTGGGTCTGAACGGGAAGAAAAGGGATAATGTCACTCACATCCATCAACAGGGGCAGCCGTGTGACTCTCTGCATGGGAAGGATGAGGAAGGAGATCATGGGAAGGTTCCGGCAGTCTGGGTGGGCCTCGATCCCTGTCAGTACCTCCTTAAAGGATGAGCTTTTATTTCTGAAGGGATAAACAGACTGTTAAACTAGTGATGGGCCACAGAGTGTGATGTGATTGCAATTGGAATTGCTTTTTTCATAATTGTGTCTCTTGAGACAATGTTTCAATTAAAAGAAACAATGTACATATTGTTAAACATATCCTGACAATATCTACAACTTTTGTCGCAATGTGACTTTATATCTTGCAATTGCGAATTTATCAAAGTTACACCAATATGTTGCGTTACTATGTATGTATCTTATAATTGTGATTAAATGCGACTTTATCTCAATTTGATTTGATCTGCCAATTGCGACTTTGTTTCTCTTAATTGTGACTATATCTCAATGTGACTGTCACAATTGCAAATTTGTTTCTCTAAATCACAACTTAATATTTCAGTGTGACTTCATATCTCACAGCTGCAATGTCATTTCTCATACTTGCATCTTTATATCTCACAATGTGATATTGCAACTGCCACTTGATTTAATTTCTCGCAATGTGACTTAATTTAATTCTTCTTCTTTTAAACTTTATTTCACAATTACTCTTTTTATTTTTACACTGAGGCAGAAAAAGGCTTCATAGAAATTTGATCTCTGTCCAGAAAAAGCTTCAGATCTGCTGGGCTAAAGGGTAAAAGTCAGAGGTGACTTTCAGTCGAATCAGTGACGAGTTATGTGTATATGTGCTGTACTCACAGGAGCCTTTGCAGGGTCCTCTGCTGGTACACTTCATTCGAGCAGTATGTCACATAGGGGTCAAAGTTTGCCTGAGCATGCCTTGAAACAATGTCACTTATGTCATCGATTACGATGTTTTGCTGGTGACGATCTTCAAGTTCCTTGAAAAACCTGGAGGGAAAAAAGGAAAGAATACAATTGCATTAGGGTATTAACATGCGTGACATGCCTCACATAACATCAACACGAGTTAAAGTCAATGTGGGGAGCAACGTTTTAGTCATTCCGCATGCACAAACACGCACATATACACATGCAACACAAAGCCAGGAAACTGTTCTAACACCTCCTTCCCCAGTCTATGATCACATCAGAGCACAGGACATCCCAAAGCCCCTCAAATGACCAACCAGGGATGGCAGCATGAAAATCATATACACATGCTCTTCCTGACCAGACACACACTTCATGACCAGTCATAGGGAATTCACTATTTTTCAGTAATCCAGAGGATGCAGCTCAGAGCTATCTGTGCTGGAACCCAGCGTGACCTCTAGTTCACAATCTCACAATAGACCACAGAAAGACAGAACCTGAATGCTAAATCTGGAAGTGATGTCAGTCAGGTTGTTAGCACAGGGGCCGTGACCCCGGGACCTATCTACAGGTGTTTGGAGCCCTATCAGCTTTACAGAGGGACAAGAGTTAACCGGTGAAGTCCAAATGAACAGTACTCAAAATAAATTTGTGCAAAGGATAAAGTTGTGACTGTAGGTGTACCTAACAAACACAGTGTTTTACTGAACACATACCAAACCATCACTTCAAAACCGAGGTATGTATCGAACCATCACTTTTGTGTACCGTTACACTTCTAACAAAGGGTAAAAAGCAAACATCTATTTCTGGTCTTGGGGGTTAAAACAGCCACTGAAAGCAAAGTTCAGCTGCTGTATCAGGGAAAATCCAACAGAGGAGTTTTGAAATTTCTTTTGACTTACAGTACAAAAGTCTCTTTATCCACAGCAAAGGAATCTGAGCTTTTATGTGAGCAATCCATCACACGAGCCAACCCACACAGACACATATGCAGCGGGCCATTTCAGGAATGCTTTGCACTTCTGTTCTGGTGCAGAATCAAGGCAACTGTACATGTTCATGTACATCTGTTTATCTGTCATTTACAGCAGGCCCAGCATCTGTTTGAGCACATCGCAAATTTGAGCACATCACACCCATCCTCCATAAACTTCACTGGCTCCCTGTTAGATTCAGGATTGATTACAAGATCTGTCTCCTGACCTATCAGTGCGTCTACGGTAGCGCACCATTGTACCTCAAAGAACTCATCACTATGCATAACCCACCCCGACATCTCCGATCTTCTGACAGCTACAAACTGCAGGTTCCTAAGTCCAAACTCCGTACTATGGGAGATAGGGCCTTCCAGGTAGCTGCGCCTCGACTGTGGAATGCCCTCACCAATCACCTGAGGGCGCCACAGTCTATAGAGGTTTTTAAAAATAAACTAAAGACCTACTTATTTTTAACTGCTTTTTCTTAATATATATCTTGCTCTTGCTGTCATTGACTGTTTTTATTTATTTTTATTGTTTTTACTTATGCACTTGTAGCACTCTGAGATATGTTCTTCATATGTAAAGTGCATTACAAATAAAACTTACTATTATTATTATAACTATTCTGGATGTCCCTTGTCTTTGGCTCTCTATCAATGTTTGTTTGTAATGTGTAAATGTGTTTGTTTATTTGAAACGAAACGATATGGGCTCTAGTAAACTGATTATATTTATCTTGCATATAGAGGAAAACATTAAAAACACAGTTCAATATTTCTGTCTGGGGTTTGCTGGGCCTAATTTATACTTAATCAACATCATGCCTCTGACTGAGAAAGACTTCTCGATTTTATTTATTTTTATTTATTAAGTGTTTACAAATCAGAAGCACAGCTTGGGCTAAATGAGTCTTATCGTGAAACATCTTGCTAAACCAGTCCTTGAGAAGAAAACATTGTTGTAAAAAAACTGCAACTCAGGTGACTCAAGTTTGAGTTCCGGCTTGAGGTCGTTTTCCGATCTTGTTCCCCTTTCTCTCCTCCCCACTGCTTCCTGTGGCATCTATACTGCACTATCCAAAAAAATAAATTATAACTTTATTAAAAACATTGTGCCCTGAGCAAGGCACTTAACCTCAGTTTGCTCTAGGGGGATTGTCCCTGTAACTAGCATACTGTGGGCTCTTGTACAATTACCTTGTGTCTTGTCCACACAGCTTTCAAAGTATACTCAACCATGGATAAAGGCGGGCATACACTGTGCGATTTTCGTCCGATTTTGAGTCAAATTCTGACTCGTGCGACTCTTTTTCGGGTCGGATTTTCAGCTTTGTCGTGCGTCATTTGTCGGGCAGTTTTCGTGCAGTGTACAGGGGGAAATGAGAGGCGATTAACCTCTCCCGACAGGCAACCGGATGGTCAGATGAATTTCTGGCATGTCAGAAATGTTGGTCGCTCCTCGTGACTATCTCGCACAGTTTAAGCAAAGCTACGAACCGATTGCCCAAAACTCAGGGCTTTTTCCCTCACTGCGCCTGTGCGAAAACAGAAGTTTAACCATTTCATCTGCAGCAAGAAATAAAACGAAAAGAGGGAGATCTTAATTTCTGTAGCTATCAAACTAGCTACAAATTACGGTTGCTTACCTCCAGTTCGTGTTGCAAAATGGATAAACCATATATTACCCACGTCTTCACCTGCGATGTAGCTACCGTGCCTCTTTTATTAATTTGTTAAACAATGTCCATGTTAAACAAACTGTTTTTGAAATAAAGCTGTTTTGACTAATCATTCCAGTGTTCGGAAATATTAGCCTATAGACTGTTAATAATTTTAATTATAGGCCTATAATTCATTGTAATCGACCTAAATGTTTTTAGACAATTTTCAATGAGGCAGAGTAAGTTTCTATGTAATCTTTTATTTTCCTCACTGCGCGTTGGTTATGCGGTGATGCGCTACGCCGCTATGAAATTATCGCGCATATTTCACACGTATAGTGTGAGCAGTCAAGTCGCAGCTCGACGTTCGGACCGTAAAGTGTGAGCACATAAATCCTGAGCTTTAGCTTTACATCGCATGCGATCTACTCGTTCAGTGTGAGTAGGTACCTTGCTGAAATCGCACAGACATCGCACAGTGTATGCCCGCCTTAAGCGTGAATGGATGAGTTCGACATGTGCAGCACAATTGCTTTTTTTATAGTCTACCAGCCTTTAGAGGGCAGCACTGAGTCATGTCATTTACAGGACATTCGCTCGGAAGTATAGAAGAAGAAAAGTAGCGGATCATCATTGTATGTAACGTTTAGCACAAGAACCTAAAAGAAAACGTTGCTTTGTTTACTGTTCATGGAACAGCATACTATTTTGTATTGCTCTTTCTGCACCCTTCTTTGATTACTGCACAATATCACAACTGTGTATATTGCCACCTAGTAGACTCTTCTTTCTCAACATTCACCTTACGCATGTGCAGTTGTATACACACCATCTGCTCGGACACAAAAATTGGTCTGCACACGGATGGGGTGCACCAACGTAAGCGGGAAAAAAATGATGTCACACGGACAGTACCACAGCCCGTCTAGAAACGTGGACTTCTGAAGTATACTTCACACTACTGACTATTACAATCTGCAGAATGTAATTTAACAAGAAAACATGTTAAATGGATCCGAGAGTACTAGACCCTAACTGACAGCTGAAAGCAAAATGAAATGAGCTATTCAATAAAACTCTGAGAATGTATACAAGGTGTAGTTTTGCCAAGGCATTTAGCTCAAAACTTAGTTTACTTTGACTAAGAATGCCATAACCCCTCTCTCATGGTATGTTTATGCTAGGGATGCACGATATTGGATTTTGCCCGATGCCGATACCAATATATTTGTATTTTTTTTAAGTGCAAAAAAAGCTTATTAAAGCTTCTATTAAAGTTCTCAGTCAAGAGCAGTGAGTGATTTCCTCTTTGTGTTTTGTTGTTTTATTAACATTAAAGGGATAGTTCTCCCAAAAATTTTAATTGTCATCATTTACTCTCTCAAGTTGTTTTAAACCCAAATAGGCCTAAATGTCTTTCTTCTGTTGAAAATAAAAGTTATTTGGAAGAATGTGGCAAACCAAACAGTTGCTGTACTCCAGTGACTTCCATAGTATATTTAAGCACAAGAAAGAAATTAATCCAGGTTTGGAACATTAGAGTGAGTAAATAATGACAGAATTTTTATTTCTGGGTGCAGTATCTCTTTAAGGACAAGCGGCAGCATATTACTACTGTCTCTTTAAGAACTGCACGCGACGTGTCTAATATACACACATTTGACAAGCAGAGGCTGCGTTTACACTTGGCATTAACATGCGACCTGTATCTGGATGTTGTCCACATACACATTGAAAAGACAAGTGTAAACGCACATCTGATCGGAATGTTATCCGATCAGCGTGTCCCGGTTCGGAGGTAGTCGAGGACGCATTGTGATCGGATCTCAGTGTAATGTAAACGCAATCCAGCCATCGTGTCTGCATTCACAGGTACGTAATTTAAATCCCCGCCCAGTCTCCCCGCGTGATTGTCAGAAAGTAATGGCCAGACGCAATTTAGACACGAAATTAAACTTATTTGAACAATAAACGTCAATCTTTAAAACAGTTTATTTATGTCATTTTTCATTTTAATTGTGCAACATTATCTGAACGAGGCGATCGCCTGTACACTCACAGTCAGTCATGAGATCTTAATGAAGAGCTGCATTTGCCAGAGGAATAATCGGAATCGGAATTTTTTAATGTTTTAAATGTTGAATGTTTTTATTGTTTCAGCATGTTTATCAATCTCCCATTTCTGTCAATATAGTCATTGCACGCAACCTTAAACCCAGATGATCGATGATGTGACTTGTTTAACATGATCAACCCAGTTATTTTTGTAAGATCAACTCTGGAAGTATTCCTTCTTTCAAAAAATATAATTTGATCTAATTAATGGAGATTGCATATGAAAGTAAAGTGAGTGAGTGAAAGCAATTGGGATGTTGTTTAATTTGTATCATCTTTACTATTAATCTGGTGTCGTGCCACAGACCTGATTTAAATATCATACTGAGATCAAGAGGACATGGAAGAACCCATACTCTGCCTGTATCCACCAACATCAGCAGGCTAGTCTCGCTGATGTTGAGAGGATAGGAGAGCGTGGGTATGCGTCGATGGGAAAACAATCGACACTGAGAGCTCAAACCCTGCCAGTTGAATGGCAGAGCATACACGTCAGCAGGTCAGGCCGGTGCTAGCCTGCACATCATGGCGGTGTTGCTGGTACACCAGGCCGATCTGCTGGGGGATCTCGACCAAGGGGTGGGGCCCCTGAGGCGGTTACTGAGCTGCGCCACAAATAAAAAAAAAAATATATATATATATATATAGCTCTCCGGGATGGCGACGATACTGGCCACGGAGTGACATTTGTGGTTGAAACTGGCCGACATCGGGAAGAAAGATAAAGGCTTTCTCCTCGATTCGCTGGTTTCGCCCTCTGAGCTTTTCGGCACCTCCGTGTTGGCGGTGGTTGGAAAGTTCAGAGAGGCGAAGGCGCGCTCAGCTGTATCCAGGACATACATACCGCTGAGATCCGTGTCCACGCCCAGACAGATGGGAGGGCCTGGCCTATCATGGTCCGAGGACCTTAGATGAGGCCAGAGAGCCAGTGTCACCTTTCGTGCGCCTCCTCCGTGGAGTAGTAGGTCGCAGAGGAGGCGCGACTCCCGCAAGAAGAGGGATCTGAGGGAGGTGATCCGGCACAAACGCACGTTGCGTCGGTCATGGATCATCTTCCCTGAGGGCGTGATTATATCTTAGCCCTTTCCTCTCTTCCCCGACTCCCCAGGCGCTTCTTACATCAGGCCTGAGGCTGGGCTCATGGTTAGAACAATGTTCTGATGGCCCGCCTCGGCTTGGTTAGTGAGAGTGCCTCTTTCAGGTATGTAAAGGTGGTAGACCCCATGTTCATGAAGAACTGTCTGGTGAGTCTTCACTTCGCACGCCGCAGGTGAGCTGCTGGTCTTTCAAAGAGTATTTTTTGTGATTAAAAAATAATATGTTTCTCTTTACAGACCTCGTTCCCTGTATAGAGTTATGGGGCCATGTCAAGGTAATAAGGTAAGAGAACTTTTTTGGATTATCAGGGCCCTGAAGTTCCCCGTTAGGTGGCCAGAACGATAACTATGTTAGCCTTCGGGCTATAAGCCACCTCAGGGTAGAGTAGTTGGTCTCTCTCTGATAGAATGTTTTACTTAGAGTGTTGACTGACGCTAGACCTTCAGATAGATCTTAGGTCCGGCCCATGGGACCGTTTTGACTTTTCTGAGTATTTCGTCCCTTGAGCTCTGTTGAGTTTTCATTAGGTTGAGCGTTCTGCAGCCCTTTGTATGGAATAATACAGACTATATTCTTTAGTAGGCTGTGGCTCCTCTGAGCCCTCAGATAGATCTATGCTTACAGGTTGGCCCTCACCAGGGCCGCCTCTGTAGCTGGCCTAGGCTGTGCCAGGGATATTAGAGGCGTTCTGCTAAAATTAGCATTTCTTCCTCTGACCCTTCACTTTGTGAATGTAGGTTTTTGGCATCCCTGTATAATCAGCCTCCTCCCATGGGAGTCGTTAGGCCAAGGCCCGCCCCCTTCTCTGTATTCTGGGGTGACTAGAGTAATGAAGCGTGGTGCAGAGGATGGTTTATAAGGACATGGTAGGCCTCAGTTAGGCCTCCGTGGTATATAAGTCCTTTTGAGCAGGGTTAGGCCGTCTTTCGCTTCACGAAGAAGACTGAGTCTCCTGCCCGACCCTGCCGTGCAGAACTAGGCTGCCAGTATGGGCTTCACTTACCTCGCTGAGCTACTGCTCGAGCGCCGGGTTGTAGGTGGTTGGCTTTCATTCAAGCCCCACTCCCCTAGGTTGGGCACAGATACATTTCTGTCACCCCTAGAGCCGCTGGCAGGCCCGCCCCCTGGTAACCTCAGGGTGAGGTGTGAGTATTCCCCTGTGATTCAGGGTAGGTCTGAGTACTTCACTCCCAGTTCTGTTTATCCTACCTCGCACCACTATGGCTCAGGTCGAGTATGAAGTAAGCCTTCACTTCTTCTTTGGTCGAAGTACGCTCCCCTGTAGCCAGAGCATTGCCCTGAGCTGACGCCCATGCATAGATGGTAGGCCCCTGACTAACTGGGGCCTCCATTGAGGCAGAGTGGCGTATGTTGTACTCCCCTTGTTTTTAAGGGTGCTAAGCTCTCTTGCTGAGTACACTGCCGTGGGCAATGTGATTAGGCACCAGGATGCTGTAGGCGCTGTGTAAACAGCTTATCTGCCAACGAAGGCTGCGCCATCAGGTAGTAGGCCTCAGCAGGCCTCCTTGTATGGGCAGCCCCCAATAGGGCGCTGTAGGCCACTTCTCGAGTGAAATGGTTGGCCTTGGTGGTTCAGGCAGTTGGCTCACCGGTGGGTAGTAGGCCTTAAACAGGCCTCCTCGGAGGTGAGTCCCAACATTGTGGGACATACTTTATAGCCGCTACATGTAGCTAGCCGTACTAGGCCGCCTGTGGGTGGGCCCAATAGTTATGTTGGTGTAGTAGGGTTCCCAACAGTGTTCCTTTGTAGCAGAATTGACTTGCTATCAGCTAGTAGGCCCAACCAGGCCTCCCTGATAGGCGAGTCCCCAGCTGGCTGGCCTTAGCAGGCCGCCTTGGAACTGTCACC